ATTGCAAGTGATAATTTTTTCATGGAAGGTATTTATAAAGATGCCCATAGAGCTGTCCAGGATGAAGTTTTTAGTAACTTTCTTAATTCTAGCATCAGTGCAATGATAACAATAGAAATGGAATTCGACTTGAAAAGAGATGACTAAGAGGGAGATATTAAAGTGTTCTTTAAAATCCTAAATGGTGTGGAAAAAGTGAATAAGGACGTGAGCTTTTCTTTTATTCCTTCACATAACACAAGAACCAGGGATCATCCAATGAAATTAATAGGCAGCAGGTTTAAAACAAACAAAAGGAAGTACTTCACACAGTGCACGGTTAGCCTGTGGAACTTGTTGCCAGGGGATGCTGTGAAGACCAAAATGATAGCATGGTTCAAAAAAGAAAAGTTCATGAAGGGTAGGTCCGTTAGTGGCTATTAGCTAAGATGGTCAGGAACACAAGGCTTTTAATATCAAGAACACTTTAATATCTCCCTCTATGTTCTGGGCGTCCCTAACCTCTGGTTGTCCGAAGCTGGGAACGGACAACAGGGAATAGCTCACTCACCGATTGCCTGTTCAGTTCATTTCCTCTGGGGCACGTAGCATTGACTGCTATCAGAAGGCAGGATACTGGGCTGGATGAAGAGTTGGCCTGCTCCCAGTATGGCTGTTCCTGTGTTCTGATTGCAGGGGATGTGAGAGGTGAGGTAGTAAAGGCACTGGCTGCAGACAGTATTCTCAAGGAGCTGGGAGGCAAAGGGAAGGAGGGAGATGTGGCAGTAGCTGGAGAAGCAAGGGAGATCAAAGAAGGGATTGTTGGGGTTAGAGATACAATAGCATACTTGAGGGCTGATGAAAAGGAGCTGAAAGGTGGAAGAGACAGGCTGAAGACCTCCCTAGTATCCTTATGTCGTTATTACCACAATATCTCTGAGCTTCCTAAGTATTTAAGAATAACAGTCACTCTCTCTCAATGTAGGGGCAAGAGCATGATTATTTTATATGTATGTCTGCTCATGACAGACTTGGCTCCCCCTCCGCAAGTTGAAGAAAACAGTTTTCCATTTGGTCCTGAAAATGGTTATTGCTGTGGCTACTATTCTTTCCTGAGGGAGTGAGTCCCATAGTTGTTTGGCCATCCAGTAGCTTCAAGCAGCCCAAGGCTGTGGTCTGACTGAACAATTTGGAGCAGATGTTCACAACTGAGGGAGATATCACCTCCATAACAAGTCCTTCAGAGCTCTTCTCTCTCCTTACCATCATTGCCTCATTTCTTCTTTGGGTTCAGACTTTTGCTCTTCATCCAGATACTGATTTCAGCTAAGCATTTGGAAAGCTGGAAGCCAGTACTGTTTATATTTGACATAAAGCTGTGCACAGTCCTAATGGTGCTGGCATTACAATCTGGCTTCCTATAGATCAGGGGTGGGGAAATATCAGCCCGGGGCCACAAGAAGTGCAAAAAAAAAACCCAAAACAAACAAAACCCCTCACAGACGTGGCACCTAATTGATAAGTGGGCTAGAGTTGGGGTGGAGGGCAGGAGGGAGAGTGCAGGAGTGGGCTGGGGTGGGAGGGTTTGGAGGGAGGAGTAAGGTGAAGGGGCAGGGAATGGGGGCATCTACCTGGCACTGCTTTTGGGGGTGCATAGATGGCTCCTTGTAGCTCTGCACTGGCTTGCAGACTCCATCCCCATCACTCCCATTGACTAGGAATCCTGGCTAATTGGAGAGACAGAGCTGGAGCCTGCAAACGCCCGTGGGCTGGATGTGGCTGGCAATTTGCCTTGATCCAGCCTGCAAGACTCAGAGCTGCCCTCCAGCAATGGGGAACTCCCCACACCTGCTATTGATGTTGAATAATATAGGAAAGGAAGGAACCATTGCCAGTGGCAACCATTTAGCTTCAGTTGGAGAAGGGCTTGAAATATTGGTGGTTGTTGACCCCTGCAGCTTTTTGGACTTGAACTAGGACTATTTAGTGATTGGCTGTATCAAATGCCACAGAGAGGTCAGAGCAAGATGAATATGGGTGTACTTCTAATGTCTATGGACAGGAGGTGATCATACACCAGAGAAACAAGTGCTGTCTCCATGCTATGTTATGGCCTGAAGCCTGAGATGAATCCAGGATAATGGCAAGCTGAGACTTTTTTTTGCTAGTTTTTTGATGAGCTTGCAGTTCCATAAACCAAAGGAATACCAGGATGGCAGAAACAGGCTAAAGGGAGCTTAGGTAAGGAGGAACAATTTAACTTGTCCCTCCTACCCTGGAGTAGCAATATGAAGCATTTAGCGTACGAACATAGGAATGGCCATACTGGGTTGGCATAATGGTTTATTGAGCCCAGTATCCTGTCCTGATTCTTTTAAGTTCAGTTATACAGTACTTTTGACCATCATAACATCCCTTGAAAGACTTACTTTACCAAAGCTAGTGGACAGATTTACACTGTGGTACTTATCTTTTCCAATATGCATCATGAAGCAGAGATTGATACATACATAAAAGCCAAACAGTATTGTATTAGAGGCTGTGATACTTCTTGAAGTAGTAGCATGATATTTAGCTCATTTGTTCAGCTCTTCACTATTAATGTGATGGGCTTTCCAGGAAAAACTTATATAAATAGAGTTGCCTATTGGAGGTGATGTTTAGTTCAGGCTTCATGATAAAAAAAAAACCTGTACAAATAAAATTTTAAAATAACATTATTCTTCCTCTTTAAAGTATTTAATGTAGCTTTTTAAATACTTTGCAATACAGGCATAAGAACTAGGTTTGGACCCCGACGCTCACTGTTAGCAGTGATGAGCACATTATAAATGCCCAAGAGAGAGACAGTTAAATGATTTTTAGTACAATGGAGAGATCCATTTGTTGCCAGGGTGACTGAGATTCAGATCTAGTTTCTAGGCTTA